GAAGCAAATGTTTTCAATTCATAAAATGGTTTTGTTACAACAAAAATTAGGAGTTTTAACTTGTTTGCTCAAGATGTGAATCTGGCTTCTCCCTTTCTCTCCTCCACTGAGGTGGCCAAACATGTCTGTGGTGGCTGTACCTAGACAGGAGATGTAATGATAAGCTGTTCAAACCTTTATGAAGCTGGTTGGTTTCATTTGCTTAGTTGAGACCTAAATTAATCTTATTCTAAACACACATGGAGAAGTAGGCAAAAACTGAATTTGCTGCCTGCTGCAGCCCTCCAGAGCCAGTGGTACAGGCCACGGACCGGCTGACACTGGCTCCTGAAGCACTAGCACAGTGACTCTCAGTGTCCTCCACTTGATGCATTTTCGGTATAGAAGTGTACTGGTTATTTCATGTTACCCACAATGTAAGGTTTGTGCTTCTGGGGCAGAATTAGATCTCTGAGTTGGCTCGAGATGCTTCTGTTCATATGATGGCACACAATTAGCAGGTGAATGTCCTTTAGATAAAAATTACAGGTTTTTCTATAGTCACCTCCGGTTTACAGAATTTGCCAGAACCAGTGCGATAAGGAAGCAGCTCTGCAGTGCAGATTAAGCCGGGTAAGGTTTTAGCTCCTTGCTTTCTTACCCTGTACTTCGGAAATAACCCATGAAACCTGTTTTTCAGGAGGTGACGTTACTTCTTTTCTGTTGGAGGGGTATTTGTATGGGCGAGATTGGTTAGGAGCATAAGCAGATGTTTGGCATGTCAAACTTGGGTCTGTTTGTTAAAAAGTTAACTTTACTTACAACGCTGATACTATCTCAAAATATCTAGTCTGACATCAAGACTAGCAGGAAGTAGGTTCCTGTATCTTAGAATACTCTTCTGGAGATGATGTATTTGTGAGAAAATATGTGCAAAGACAGTTTTATGTTTTGTTATCAAACCAGCTGTACCTGTAATGGGACTTAGGGCCTCAAGAATTGAATAATATGGTCGACAAAGCATTTCTGACGTGTTAGGGGATAGATCAGTCCTCTTTGAGCTGTACTGAGGATAGAAGCACTTCCCTTTTTATAATTCAGATAAATGACACAGCATGAAACCAGGTGATAGAAAGGTCACGTTACAGAAACCGTTGCTATGAGCAGTACACCTGCCCGTATTTGCAGCCAGGTGTCTTGTGGCTACCAACTCATTTTCTCAAGATTAGTTTTATTGGATCCACTGCTACTTTTGTGCCAGTAGCATTACAGCATCTGCTTACTTAGTTGAAATTATTTTCCTTATGACTTATCACAGCTGTTAATTTCAACTTTCTCAGTTCCTGAGTTTTGGAAAATGTTTAAGCAAATTGTTCAAGAAGGACAGTTGTCGGCATGGTTAATCCATACAAGGATTATGATAGCTAGACTGAGAGACCAGAGAACAAGATACAACCCTGCCTTAATCATCTTAAGCCTAAGATCATTCTTTCAAATGTGAACACTTACGTTTTTAATAAGTGTAGGAGAAGAATTCACAAAAACATTTTGTTTATCAGCCTATATAAGTCCAATATTTGCAAGTATGTCAAACATCTGCTTTTCAAAGATGAGATGCACCCATGGTAGAGTCATCTACAGGAACTCAGGATCTTGCAGACTTAATCTCATTTAAAATCTCTATATCTTTGCAGTGGAGATTTAATATAATTAAAAACATACAACAAGTTAATTTATTCCTGGAATTCATCATGAAAAAGCAATAACAGACACCGGATATATCTTTTCAGTCTAGCAACATTGGTTGTGACCTGGATGATGCGTACGGTGAAATTACAGAACAGAAAGCAACATCTCTTCTGTTATGGCCCTTGGACAAATGTGCAAACTCTAATTTAGGTCAGTGGGAAGGAGCCAGACACATATCTAGTCCATAGAGGTTTGGTTGGGTTTTTTTTGTGTGTGGCAGAAAATTAGAAATACAAAGCCACCAAGGAAGAAAACATGGCTCTTGTTTAAACTCCTGTAATTCCTTTGTTATAGAGCAAGACCTTCTACCACTAATTTTCAGACTGCAGTGCCTTTCATTCTGGAGCTGTAGGAACAGTAATCAGTGGCCCTGGTTTTGGAGATGTTTGAGGATCGTTTCATCTGGAAAAGCATCTTTTCTCTGCCATAGAGCGTGCAAAGAATGGAGCCATGTAATTAAATAGATAATTACTACCCAGCAGCAAGAAGACCAGGCAGACTTTCATTTCAATGTCTTTTTGGGGAAAGTATTCTATTTTTACAGTCTGTGAATCACTTGAAATGCAGAGGCTAGAAGAGGCAGCATGTTATTACATGGTAGCTGATAAGAAACAATTCAAAGTAAATTTTCACAGTAATCATCTAGTTATAGGAAGTAAATAATTGGTGATCCCCTATTGACATATCTTGGTAGGGATATAGGATGGTTGCATATGTGTTTACAAGCCTTATTTGGGCTTAGGTACTTCACTTTGGTTCTAAGTAATACAATCTAAACATAACCTGGCCTCAAAGGAGGAAGGCGGAGCTTAGGACAGAGCCTAAAACAGGCTCAGCTTCCGTCTCTGACACAGTTTCTTTTATGAAGTTCATCATCAACAACTTTTCTTGACGGCCCCCCCCCCTCAGCCGGCAGCTGCCTGGCTTGCAGGTGAGCCACAACCCACCAGCGACACCCTGACGGCGTGCCAGGAGGCAGAAGCTAAATTATGCAGCACATACATTATCTCAGCCGCAAAACTTGAGCAGGCCCCTGTGTTTCCTTGTGGGGAACTACGCCATCATGTGCCTGGGAAGGCTTTGGGGAGAGCAGGGCGGAAAGGGTGCTGGCATGTCAGGAAGGCGGCTTGATTTGGGAGTTCTGTTTCTGTTACTCCTGTTTTGCCATGCTGGAGCAGGGCTGCATTGCCAGGCAGGTTTACCAAAAGGGGATAAAATAGCTCCTCTTCTCTAAAGTCTTTCCAGAGTACTGATGGCTTCATCTGGGAGGCCTCTTGTGGCTCCCCCCCTTCTCACCACTTTCTCGCTCACGGTCCACTGTCTCCTAGCTCAAACGTGGCTTGACTAAAATGGGTTTCTGACAGAAGCATGAAAAAAAAAGCATGTAAAAATTGGGTTGCATCAGTCAGGAGACCAGCTGCGTCCCAGCCACATGCCGAGGGGTGTCTCTGGTTTGGTTGGGTGAATGCCTGGCTGCATTTTGCTGTCGTGTGGCTTAGCAGGCTGGGCCGCTGGCAGTTGTGCCTTTAACAGATATACGTCCAGTCAGACGAAGCAGAGGTTTGTGTCTTCAAAGGGCACTGCAGGTGGGCTGGGAGCATTAGGTTCCTCCGGCCACTTTGTCAGAGTCTGTCTGCTTGGGCCCAGATGGTGCAGGTTTGGGCTTCCCTCCCTCACCCCACCAGTTTCTCCTCCAGCACTGCTGGGGGACAACTTGGCTTCTTCCTTTCCAGGGTCCCACCTCAGCATTCTCCTCTCATCACCCAGCGATGAGATTTCCTTAACACTTCACCCTACTTTATCCCTGCCAAGCATGTCTTCTTGTACCCCTGCTTTGTTCTGGGAGGCAGTTTTTTTCCCCTGGCGCTTGTCCTGCTCAGTCCTAATCAGTGAAGTCTCTTCCACAGTACTTTCTCTTTCCAGGTATCTCACAAGGTCTCCTGCATTCATTCTTCTGTCCTTTCCATGATTTCTTATTTTTTCCCTTTTATTACTGTTCCTGTCTTCTCCTGATCCCTGCTGTGGTATCTTGGGGGTTCATCAGAAACTACTGCAGTACCTGGGCAATAGTTCAGTTCCAGGAGTGCAGCTTTACCCTCAAATTCAAGGAAACTTCTCCACAATTTTCTAAAATGAAGAGGTGAAACCTAGTTTGAAGCCAGCTGTGTCTGTAACAGTCTATCTTCGCCACTGGAAGAGGTTGTTTTACATCTCTTGCACTAAGAAATAGTTCAGCTTGTTATACTTAACTGGTCATCGTTTCCATTTGGGAGGCTGGGTGATTAGGAAGATGGCCTGAGCCGAGTGTGATGGGAACCATCTGAAGGGGAAG